AAGTAATCAGCAAAATCAGTGGTTCAAGAGGTAGAGTGATAGGTAGGCAAGCAGGCTGAGAAAGTGTGAAGCCTTAGGTTCAAGTTCTGGCACTGGCAAAAAAAAAAAAAAGACCTTAGGATAGTATACACTTTGTAGAGTTTATTTTAAGGGTTGATTAAATGATAACATGATAAGTAGAGATACACATATACATATATGAACAATTACAGATGTATATGTACATGTATTTTATTTATTTATTTTGTAGGTCGTGGGGCTTTGAACTCTGGGCTTTGGTGCTGTGCTTGCACGTTTCAGCTCAAGGCTAGTGCTCTACCATTTGAGCCACAGCGCCACTTCTGGCTTTTTTTTTCTTTTTGCTTATGTGGTACTGAGGAATTCAACCCAGGGCCTCACGCATGCAAGGCAAGCGCTCTACCACTGAGCCACCTTCCCAGCCCCTATTTTTTCTTTTTTCTTTACTTTCTTCCCTTCTTTTTTTTTTTTATGATGCCAGTCCTAAGACTTGAACTCAGGGCCTACGTCCTGTCCCTGAGCTGTTTTGCTCAAGGTTGTCACTCTACCACTTGAGCTACAGCTCCATTTTGTCTTTTTTTGGTGGTTAATTGGAGAAAAGAGTCTCACAGACTTCCCTGACCTGACTGGCTTCAAACTGTGATCCTCAGATCTCAGCCTCCTGAATAGCCAAACTTACAGGCATGAGCCACAAGCACCTAGCTTTAAACTGCATTTCTTTATAGTACAACCCAGCAACATGTTCCTGACCATTCTCAAATGAAGGAGTATCATACTTTATTTCTCTTCTATTTTAGTTTCTCTTCCAATTACTGTAATTAGGCTTAATGCATTTCCATCAATTCCTTTATTTTAATTTTTTTTTGCCACTCTGTTCTTCCAAGTAAAAACTAGTCCAACACAGTGACAATCACAATGACAGAATCTACAGGCTGCACTAAAAATCTAGGTCTGTTTCACTGCTATCATAAATCTCAGCTTGATTAGACTGCAGATCCCGGTGTTCGCTGCAGAAAGGCTCAGGCAGAAAGGAATAAAGATTGACAACAGACAGCTTCTTCAAAATTATACATCATTCAACTGGGTGCCCATAGGGGAATTCTGAACCTGATCAAGAGGGTTAACCTATTTCTCAAGATAAACCATCATCGGGGGCTTCAGCTCTGCATGAAATGTCCACAAAGTAATAATGGACAGTTGGTTGTGTGTGTGTGTGTATATGTGTGTGTGTGTGTGTGTGTGTGTGTGTGTGTCTGTCTGTCTGTCTGTCTGTCTCCGGGGTTCTGAGGTGCTAAACTTGGGGCCTCAAGTTCTCAACCACTTGAGTAATGCCCCATGTCTTTTTTAATTCTTAAGTTTGTTTACAGATGGGGTCTTATACTTTTGCCTGAACTAGCCTTGGACCATGGTCCTGCTACCTCTGCCTCCTGAGTAGCTGGGATTATAGGCATGCGCTACCCTACAGCATTTGGGTCTACCTACTTTAGTGAAGAGTCTTCACTCTAGATTTCTAAGTAGCTTCTTCTATTCTCTTACTTCAGCATTAACCATAAACCTGGTCTCATGAAACTTGGAAGAAATTGCTGTTATCAAAAATGAAATTCTTACTTTCCAATGTCTTTATGATCTATTCACTTTTCAATCTTCATTATCCAAGTGTTTTGTGCCAATTTGGAAGCTGTTATCATGATCTGGGAAACAATCCCTGGCCCACTGTAAGCATTCAAGTCTTACTGCTTGGGCAATAAATACATTAGCAAAACAAGTGCTCAGTTAATAAATCTTCAATAGAGTTTGAGATGGCTGGACCCAATATAAACTATGAGCCAAAGACCTTGAATGGTGCTATCTCACAAAGCAAGGCTGCTGGTCGAGCCTGCTGCTCTAACTCTTCTCACTTCATTTATGTGCCTAGACCCAAGCTCCAAACGTGTTATTTCCACTTTCTCCTAGTCATCACACTTGGATTTCCCACAACGTTCTTCAAATCTACTTTTTCACAGCTATGGAAGTGAGGATCTTCCATTCCCGCACCTACTCTTCTGATCTGAGCCTCAGCTGAGACCCGTCAGGACGTCTGATGGGACGTCCATTTCTGTAGATTTTCTTCCCACTCTTCTCAAGCCCTCACAGCCCAACTCAGCCTGGGCCTAGTCATATTTCTGTGACAAGCTCACCATCTCCTGATGGCTCTCCACACTCCCCTCTTCTCTCATGATCTAACTCCCCCTCCCCCATCCTTGAACCTATAGATCTCCTTTGTATCTGGGTAAAACCCTTCCCTGGCACCTCATCACTTCTACTCACTCAGAAGTAGTGTGACCATGAAATGTACTGTCCCACCTGGCACCCCCCTGGGCATGAAGGATGGCACTGTGAGTAGATGTGCTGGTAGAACTGGGGAACAGACTGTCCCATGCAAGCCTACACGTCACTTGGGTCCACTTGGGTCCCTAGGTGCATTTTCCACCACAGTCCTCTGCCATCTGCAATACTGGTGTCTTGCTATGGCTGGGAATAATCTAAAGTGGCTGCCAAGAGCTAGGCCAAGTAAGGGGCCATGTTCATGGAGCCAGGCTCCTACCACAGCTGCAGAAGGCATGCTGAGGGTAGGCTTCAATTTCTGTATGTATCTGTGTGTA